CCCCCCCCCCCAAAAAAAAAACAAAAAACAAAAAAAAAACTGACCTTGTGCCTCGGTCCACCGAAAAACGCATTGCTCCGCTACTCACCACCAAAATCATGGCGATGTCTCTTTCCATGTTCTAGCAGAGGATTCGTTCTCATTTTGCACATGCGATGAGTAGTGTAGCGAAGCCCATAGTCGGGTTTTGCGATGCAAGGAGAAGCAGGAAACTAACATGTGCAAAATGAGGATGAATCGTTCACTGGATCATGAAATGATACGCGGTCATTTGTTTTGTCCTTTGTGCATGTATTGAGTAGAAGAAAAAGAAAGAAAAACAGATGCACGAGGAAAAACGAAAAGAAAAAAAAGAAAAGTGAGAATGAATCTTCCACCAGAACATGGAAAGATACACCACCAGTAGACTGTCACGTATGGACCTCGCTCCACTACTCTCAACACTCTTGACATGTGCAAAACTCGAGCGAATCTTCCCCTACAACATGGAAAGATACACCGCCTTTGTGCATGTTGAGAGTAGTGGAGCAAGGCCCTATGTGTCTGCTTATCCGAATGGGTTGCACTAAAGATAAAAAAAACAGATGCACGGAGAAAATGAAAAGACAAAAAAGAAAAATGAGAATGAATCTTCCGCCAGAACATGGAAAGATACACCACCAGTAGACTGTCACGTATGGGCCTCGCTCCACTATTCTCGATATGTGCAAAACTCGACGGAATCGTTCGCTAGAACATGGAAAGATGCACGGCCATGATTTTTGTTTTTTGTGCAGGCCGAGAGTAGTGGAGCGAGGCCGAACATTCGTGCCACGCCAGCTCGCCAGCGAGAAAAAAAAGACAAACAATGCCCGCCATGCACCCGGAAAAAAAAGGGCAAACAATGCCCGCCACGCAACAGAAAAAAAAAAGGGCAAACAACAGAACGAAAAGATGCGATGCGACAAAGCCCACCCCGCCCAACTGGCCTCACTGAAAAAAAGAACGAAACAGCGCGCCACTTCCCCGATGGCCGTGCCCCACTGGTACCACCTCCCAACTGTTTTTCTGCTGGGCCTGAGCGGTAGCATTACGTGAGGACCACTATTTTTTTTAGGAGTAACCTATATTCTTCTCTCAATTATACCTCCTGCTACCTACTACATGTCTAAGAACAGCAACCTGTGTCCAAGTACCAAAGGGCCCTATGTAGAGAACTAACCCCCAGTAAGGAATGGCATGGGCAAGGGTTTCCGAGAGAACCCGGGACCCTAGACCCTATCAAGGCCGGCAGGAGGGGGCAAGCCAACTAGCTCAGCTAATGTATACCAAGCACACAGCAGGTGCCCGTGCGGGATTGAACCCATAACCTCGTGAATTATGTTTTCAAAATGTTTTTTCTTTTTTCTTTCTCTGTATGTGCACATTCTGGCCGAAGGAAGGAACAATTTGGCTGTTAGTGTCTGTGCATTTTTGTACTGTGCACCCACTGTCCATGCTCTCTGGCTTTCCTGATGCTGAGTTTGCTGAAAGTGTCAAGTGCTGAGAACTAAAAGGAGGTGGATATGATTGGGGCAGCACACAACATAAATGAACACTGCTTGTCGCTTCCTCCGAAGTGAAGTTAGTTTGCATCTGAAGCTTGTGGGGTCTGCGGCGGTGCATTTGGCGGGGTGAGGTTACTGGGCACAGGTCTTCAGGACACTCAATGGAAGTGTGGGTGGGGCTGGATGTATTTTGAACCAGGGCATGTGATTTGGAAGGACATTTTGGATTCTCCGTTGCTTTTGAATGTTGTGATGCATGTCTTGCCTGTGTCTGCACCAAGCTTTGTGCTGTTAAATCTCAATCTCTCGACATGTAAAGTTGTGGCATTGGGTTAATGAAGTCGTACGTGAGTGCAAAATTCGGTAGTTCTGACCTCCGTGCTGTCACCTCCCCTTCCTCCCCTTGCCGGGACGTGGTGCGGCCTAATGTTGGGCTTGGAGCAGCACCCTGCTCCTGTTTAGTCTCCCTTCATTCCTGCACGGGTAAATCCTTTCAAGGTGTGTTGTGTTCAGGGCTCCCAGCGAGCTTAGTACCAACTCAAGGGAGGCATGGATGTGGGCTTAAACCGCTAGTACATGGCCCTAGCCTTGTGGAAATTTGTTCATCGCCGGCTCTGAACTTTTCGGGACTCAGGGCTACCGGACCACAATGGCTGGCGGCGGCAGCCAAAAAGAAAGAAAGTGCGTGGCTGGCGGTCCGGAAAAGCCTGGCGTGCAGTGCAGCGCCTGCAGACCCAGATGTGCTGGTGGTTGAAACCACCAGTACACCCGCACCTAAAATCCCGAACCTACCTGCCCACTGCGCGCCACTATTTTCCGAGCCTTCTGCATGAGGGTACCTGCAGTGGGAATTTCGGAAGTGGCACTGGTGCCGCCGGTCTGCCTGAACCGAAAAAAAAAAAAAAAAAAAAAAGGAACAACACCAGAGAGCAATGATGTTGTGAACATCATGGAGGCCATAAGCAGATTATCACTTTCCTGAATGCATCTGACCACTATTACGGGGAGAGGGAAACATTGCTGTTTCTCCTTTTTTTCTCGTTTTGTTTTTTTTCTCCTGGCCCTGCCAGCAAGGCAGCGCATATTCCTCTTGCTCAAAACGCGCTTGCTGAGGGCATACTCACACTAGCCACGTTGAAATGCGTCCAACCACTTTCACGGGCAAAGCGTTGTTGGCTTTTTTTTTTTTGTTCTTTTTTTTGAGAGTCCGACAGTCCTGCTCCCCGTGTTCTACGTTCCGCTGGAGTGCCCTCACTGAGGGCAAACTCACACGAGTACTCCAACAAGTGTATCCAACTGCAATCACGGCCAAAGGCTTTTGTTTTTTTTCTTTTCTTTTTTTGAGAGTCCGACAGTCCTGCTTCCCGTGTTCTACGTTCTGCTGAAGTGCCCTCACTGAGGGCATGCTCGCACGAGTACCCCAAAAAGTGTATCCAACTGCAATCACGGCCAAAGGCTTTTTTTTTTTTTTTGGGGGACGTACGAATTGAGATGGGCCCAAAAATTTGAAAACCTTCTGACGCTCCGACCCTGCCCCGAGCCCGCCTTTTTACTTCTTGTGGCGACAAGTTATTTTGCCGAAGGCTGAGGCCGTGTACTGGTGGTTTAAGGCCTATTGTCGACTTCAAGGGACATGAAATTTTGGGTGCCATTAGGGGGATAGATCTTGTGGTTGCTTTCTGTTGTTCTTTTTTTCTGTTTTTGGTTCCTTTGGGTTCTACATTCAAAAGGGAGTTCTGTGAATTCATTGACATGTTTACTGGTGGTAACAGAATCGAACTTGGGGAGCCGGATTCGTCATACAGACCTCTAATGAAGAGGGTGGATATCTTCAGAAATCTGGTGATGTTCATGAAAAGTGGCGAGGAATCACCAGATTATGACACATCTCTGCAGTTCCTCGAGCAGCACATTGGGTAGGTGTCAACATCCCATGCCCTTCAAACTGCTCAACTATGACTACTTCAAGGCGCTGCCCCCCTTACCCGGCACAGCCCCTCACCCCAGCGCTCAGAAAACGGAAAAGTAAGAACTGCTTCGTACGTGTTGTGGATGAATGCTGATTACCTTAAATCTCCGATCCCTGCCTTCTTTTGTTCTCTGACTTCTGGACAAGTTTTGTGCAGAAGTTTCTTGCATGTGCGGATACCTGCTAGAAATAGAACAATGACGTGAACTACTGAATGGGTTTTAGGGAAAAATGCTTTGGAAAAGTTTGAGTATAGGATGGATAAGCAAATAAAGTTGGGCACAGTTTCTCTCTCCTACATTTTCCATGGGCAGATTGTCGTTTTTTTTTTGTTTTTTTTTTAAATAATTCTGAGACCTTTTTTTTACTGTGTCCTGAGACCTGGCACATGATATAGGTCACATGCTCACAACACTAAGACTTCATATGGCTGTAATGATGGGCAAATACAGCTGGTTGTGAACAACCGCTGAGCCTGTTGTCAAAGTTCTATGTTCGCACTGTGGTAAACTTGCTATCGTTATTGTGGGAGATGTGTCCCTGGGGAAGGCATGGGGAGGGAAAGGGGCTTTGTGGGGGACTCTTATGGGTGCATAGGTGGGGGTGGCGGGCTGGATGGTCGTATTGTACTTGTCGACTACAATATCGTCTCTGATGATCACTTTTGTAAGCTTTTTCAAGAAGGCTCCAAGTATTGCTTGAATGGGGAAAACCGCTTATGTACTCCAAGTGCTGGCAATTTGGACTTTATGAGAGCACATTGACAATTACAGTTACAAGAAGTTGTTGGCCAGACAATCTCCCCGCATTCAACCCCTAGTTTAATGGGGTAAAACATGCTCCGTGGAAAAGCCGTGGAGGCGAAGCGGGGGGTTGTATGGGGTTTTTTAGTAGCTCGGATTGTGGAGGGGGTAGTTCCGCACCCCCTCATGTACTTCTTTTTATTTTTGTTTTTCATAAATACAAGAGTAATAAAGCCAGGCAGGGTCAGGAACTGGAGTGGGGGGAAGCGATTTTGTGTGCTTGTGTTATGAACCTGGTTGTTTGTTGTCAAAAGATCAGCACTCGCTCACATAGACTTCCAGGTATGCCCATACATACACAGAAGGAAGGGGAGAGGATGGGAGTATCACACCGCACAGGGAAAGATAAACACAGCGGAAGACTTGACCATGCGATATGACAGAAAACACTGAAAGTGCAATTCGCTCCACATAATCCTCACAACCAGTCACAAAGGAAAGCCGAGTAGATCACATCCAGGGAACAATGAAGCAATGATAGTCCACACACAGTATTCACACTGTTTATTAAACTCGGAGTCTCGAAATGTCAGAATAACCCCAGAACCATAGTGCGCTGCTCATTCACTCTCCAACCCTGAGTAACCGCTATACAGCTCAAGGACGACGCGCAGCTACAGCTACAGCTACATCCCAGGCAGCTGCTCGACGACGCAACCCTCAAGGACGACGCGCAGCTACAGCAAACCGCCACACAACAACTGGAGCAGCGGATTTGTGCTACCGGCACCAACCCGAGTTCGGCACCGCGCGAGATGACTCCGAAGTTCGATGGTCAGGATATCTTCTTCCATTCGACTATGGACCCAATTTCGTGGTTTGTAAGTTCGAGCCAAGTTGCAGCCACACCACGTCAGCGAGGACAAGCATCACGCGTACTTATACTCGAGGTCGGGGGGCGCGTGCCAAGCATGGTTGGACAATCTCTTGTCCAAGTAGGGGGTGGTAGCTGTTGACTTGTACACCAAGATCAATTGGGATGATCTGAAGGCGGCGTGGCATCAACGGTTCCAAGTTGAGCCGCCCGAGATCAAGGCAATGGACAAATTGTTGACCTTCGAACAAGGCACGCTGCCGAGTACCAACGCTTGACATTCATCCCAGACATTCAGATGGGCTTCAAGGCCGTCAAACACTACTTCATCATCTTTGTCACGAACAAGGAGGCCAAGAGCCTCAACCATTCGTTTGTGAAAGGTCCGAGCAGAGATCAGCATCAGCCGAAAGTGGCCGTGGTCGTGGCGGCAACGCCAACCGACCCTTCTAGCGAGGCCATGTCTGCCAGTGAATGGGACAGACTCGCAGCTGCCTGGGATGGTGGCCGCCCCGGTAAAGGCCGAGGACGCGGCAAAACGAAGACAAACACCGCATCTATCCCTGGGCCTGGCACAACAGCTCCAGCCCCATGGTCCAACTACGGGCTCTTCGAACGTGCGTACAAGCTAGGCACAAGATTTCGCTATTGTCTGTGGTGTAACAGTGATCTCCACGACACAGTGGGTTGCCCGTCGAAAGGAAAGGGCAAACCGGGAAACTGAGCACCGTCGGGAGTGAGTCGACGACATTCTCGACGCCTTCGGAACCGGTCGCTTCGCGGGTGACCGCCCTTCGTTCCGAGGCACATGGTGGAAGTCGATAGTCCTCTTCTATATTCTTATGAGGACTATGGTGCCCGGCTCGTTCCTACGTTGGGTACTCTTGCTCAACGACGAGACGTGTGTGCGACATCTTCTCCGCTCGACAGCGGTGAATTATCGTCTTCAAGTGGTTCTTCACGGGATTCGGCGCGCGAGTTCAACATAGAGGTCTTGGACCCGCTCACGTTGGAGGATTCTGCATGGCTTCCTCTCCCGACCATGGGTCGTTTGCCGGGACCGCAATGCGCAACATTATGCGCTAATCTCCGCACGTATCTATCCTTCTATGCACTACCAACTTCACCGACGGATGACGAAGCTGCGGAGGGGGACATCCTTGCGTATGTTACCAAGGTGGCCCGCGAGTTTCACAAGCATCGGTACGATGACAACAACGCACCGCTCCTCTATATCCGCATCCAAGTTGGCAAGCGTCTTGCAGCACTTTGCTGAATAGCGGAGCGACTTGCAATTTGATGAGCCAAGCCTTTATGCAAAGGGCTGGCCTTGGCGCACAAGTTCGGAGGAAGGCAAACCCGATGGCAATCAAGTTGGCGGACGGAAGGACGCAACAACTTATCGACCGTTACAATGAGGCCGTATTGGTGTACTTCGCATTCATGCATGCGAGCCGGTGACGTTCGTTCATGCATGCGAACCGGTGACGTTCGATAGTTTGGACACGGACTTCGATATCATTTTGGGAATGCCTTGGCTTGCAAGTGCGGATCACACGGTCAACTTCTACCGACGGACTCTTACCGTTCGGGACGCCTTCGGCGCTGGAGTGCCATTTACTATTCCTCTTTTGCACCCTTCGATCTGGTGCCAAGTGGTGATGGCCAAGTCGTTCCGGGCTACTTGCGCTTACGAGCAGCCCGACGAGATAGGCCTATGCTTCCTACGGACCGTCACGGTAGCCGATTCTTCCCCCACGGACTTGTCTTCGGGACCCCATGTGGTGAGGTTGCTTGACGAGGTCACCGACATTTTCGAGTCACCTACCGGCGTGGTGCCGGATCGGCTGATCTCTCACGAGATCATTCTTGAGGCCGGTGCCGTGCTGCCGAAAGGCTGCATTTACCGCATGAGAGAGGAGGAGCTTACGGTCCTCCGTGCGCCACTCGGTGACTTGTTGGACAAAGGCTGGATCCGCCCTAGTAGCTCTCCATATGGAACGCCAGTTCTCTTCGTACGGAAGAACAAGGATCTACGATTGTGCATCGACTACCGCAAGCTCAACGCGCCAACCGTTAAGAATGCGGGGCCTCTTCCTCGTATTGACGATCTCCTTGAGCGTTTGTGTTCCGCGAAGTACTTTTCTAAGTTGGATTTGAAGTCGGGAAATCATTGGATTTCGATTCCGGCCGAACGATCCCTATAAATCCGCGTTCAAGATGCAGTATGGGCATCTTGAGTCGGTGGTCATGCCGTTTGGCCTCACCAATGCCCCGACGACCTTTCAAGCGGCAATGACCAACGAGTTTCGTGCGATGTTGGACCGATTCGTGCTGGTCTACTTAGACGACATTCTCGTTTATAGCCTCGACAAGTGCGAATTTGTCCGGAGCCGCGGAACGTCACGGATGTTCGTTCGTTCCTTGGCCTTGCGGGCTGTGACCAATGTTTTATTAAGGGTTACTCGAAGATCGCGGCCCACTTGACCAAGCTTGAATGCGAGGATCGGCCGTTCGACTTCGGGGAGGATGCGCGGGAATCATTCTTGGCTGTCAAAGTCGCATTATTGTCCACGGAGGTCTTGCGAATCTACGACCCTCTATTGCCATCGCGCGTCACTACGGATGCATTCGGCTATGGCATTGGTACCGTCCTCGAACAACACGATGGCGTGGACTGGCACCCGGTCGAGTACTTCAGCAAGAAAGTGCCCATCGTGCACTCCATCGATGATGCACGCAAGGAGCTCCTAGCCTTCGTCCACACGCTCAAGCGGGTGCGGCACTTCCTCCTTGGTCGAAGTCAATTCAGATGGGTAATGGAAAACAATCTGTTGGTCTTCGACAAGACCCAAGACACCGTCAATAGCACCATCGACCGTTGGATGGCTTTCATCGACCAATTCGACTTCTTTCCTGATCACATTCTGGGGAAGTCTAACCGTTTTGCAGGTGCTCTTTCACGGTGTCCGAATCATTGTACCGCAATCTATTCGACCTTTGAGATTGACGACGATCTGCGGGACAGTTTCATCCACGACTACCAAGCCGACCCCGAGTTTCGCGACAAGTACGCGAATTGCTCCTCTCCTAATCCGGCACCTTCTCACTACCGGATCCAAGAGGGGTACTTGCTTGTCCACATGCGGGGGAAGAACATTCTTTGCGTACCGAGTAACTCTCACTTGCGTACACGGCTTCATCCGACACCTTCTCACTACCGGATCCAAGAGGGGTACTTGCTTGTCCACATGCGGGGGAAGGACATTCTTTGCGTATTGAGTGACTCTCACTTGTGTACACGGCTTCTTGGCGAGTTCCACGATGCTC